ATATATATATATATATATATATATATATATATATATATGTGGAAAAGGTCCCTGTTGCTTTCTTGGTGACCTCTACCAAACCCAAAGCTTTAAGGAAGAAATGAATATGCTACACGAACTCAGTGGCAATATTCCAAAGGGAATACTCAACTCATTCTATGAGACTGGTGTTACCTTGATACCAAAATTGCATAAAGACATTCTCAAAACATACAAACAAATACTACAACCTATTTTCTCTTATGAACATATATGGAAAAATTCTAAATCGAATACAGCAATATATAAAAGCAATAGCACATCACGATCAAGCTCAATTTACTTCAGGAATGCAAGATTGGCTTAACATTAAGAAATCAAGCCATGTAGTTCACCATGTTAACAAGCTAAAAAAAATACATATGATCATCTCAGCAGTCACAGGAAAAGCATTTGACAAAAATCAACAACCATTTCTAATTTTAAAAAACTCTTTCAGCACACTGGAAATAGGAGACATTTAAACTTAAAAAGGGGCATCTACAAACAACAGCTATCAGACATAATTGTGAAAGACAGTGTTCTCATGCAATGGCAAGGAATAAGGTAAGAATATATTTTCTCACTAATTCTATTTAACATGCTGGAGGTTCTAGCTAGTGGTGTCAGGGAATAACAATAAGTAAACATCACCCAGATTAGAAAGGCAGAAATAATCTTTAAAATTCCCAAACGACACAGTTATCTGGTAAAATATACGATGTAACCTACTAGAAATCTGCTACAAGTAATAGTGAGTTTAGTAAGATGAAAGAAGAGTAAAAGAAGATATAAAATGAATTGTATATTTCAATGCTAGTGATAATCAACTGGGAGCTGAAATCAAAAAGTCATACCACTTACAAAAACATCAAATATATGTAATACTTTAGTATAGACCTGAAAAAACACATGCAAGAACTCTATGCTAAAAATACAAAATATTAAGAAAAATTAAAAATGCAAATAAATCAAGAAATATATGTGTATCAATTGGAAGACTATATTGTTAAATTATCAACTCTTCCCAAATTGATCTATAAATTCAACAAACTCTCAATTGACATCTAAGCAACCTACAACCACCTGATCTTCATCAAAGTTGACAAAAACAAGCAATGGGTAAAGAACTCCCTATTCAATAAATGGTGCTGGGATAACTAGCTAGCCATATACAAAAGACTGAACCTGGACCCCTTGCTTACACCATATACAAAAATCAACTCAAAATGAATTAAAGACTTAAAACCCCAAACAATAAAAACGCTGGAAGACAACCTAGGCAATATCATTCTGGACATAGGAACTGGCCGAGATTTTGTAATGACACCAAAAGCAATTGCAAGAAAAGCAAAAATTGACAAATGAGATATAATTAAACTTGAGAGCTTCTACACAGCAAAGGAAACTATTCAGAGTAAACAGACAACCTACAGAATAGGAGAAAACATTTGCAAACTGTTCATCTGACAAAGATCTAATATCCAGCATGTATGAGGAACTTAAATTTACAATTTAAAAAAAACCCATTAATAAGTGGGTTAATAAGGATATGAACAGACACTTTTCAAAAGAAGACATTTATGCAGCCAACAAGCATATGAAAAACAAGCTCAACATCACTGATTATTAGAGAAATGCAAATAAAAACCACAATGAGATACCATCTCACAGCAGTTGAATCATGATTATTAAAAAGTCAAAAAATAACAGATGCTGGCGAGAGTGCTTATACACTGTTGGTGTGGGAGTGTAAATTAGTTCAACCATTGTGCAAAACAGTAAGGCAATGCCTCAAAGAGCTAAAAATAGAACTGTCATTTGACTCAGCAATCCTATTACCAGGTATATACCCTGAAGAATAGAAATAGTTCTATCATAAAGACTCATGTAGTAAAGACATGGAATCAACCTAAAGGCCCATCAGTGATAAACCGGATAAATAAAATTTAGTACATATACACATTATCATACCACGGAATAGTATGCAGGCATAAAAATAAATGAGAACATGTTCTTTGCAAAAGCATGGACAGAAACAGAAAACCAAATACCATGTGTTCTTACTTATAAGTGGGAAGTAAATGATGAGAATATGTAGACACATAGAGAGGAACAACAGACACTGGGCCTATTTGAGGGTGGAAGGTGGAAGGAAGAGGATCAGAAAAAATGATTGGGTACTAGGCTTACTACCTGGGTGATGAAATAATCTGTACAGGAAACTTCCATGACACGAGCTTACCTATGTAGCAAACCTGCACATATACTCCTAAACCTAAAAGGTTTTTATTTTTTTTAAGCACAAAATCAGCATATATATATATATATATATATATACACACACACACACACACACATATATATATATATATATATATTTTTTTTTTTTTTTTTTTGAGACAGAGTTTCTGTTGCCCAGGCGGGATGCAGTGGCGCAATCTCGGCTCACTGCAACCTCTGCCTTCCGGGTTCAAGCTATTCTCCTGCCCCAGACTCACAAACAACTGGGGTTACAGGCACATGCCACTACATCTGACTATTTTTTGTATTTTTAGTAGAGACGGGGTTTCACCACGTTGGCCAGGCTGGTCTCAAACTCCTGACCTCAAGTGCCGCCCACCTCTGCCTCCCAAAGTGGCGAGATTACAGGCATGAGCCACCACGGCCAGGGAAAATTTTTTATAGAAATGGAAAAGCTGATTCTAAAGTTCTTACGGAAAAGCAAATAACCTAGAATGACTAAAATAACTTTGAAATAAAATGAAAAGTTGTAGGGCTAATACTACCTAACAGAGATTACTACATTATTTGTGGACCCTGTGCAAAATGAAAATGCAGAGCCCTTCACTTTGTGGTTCTACCAGAATTCTGTGTTCATGGGGGATTGTGAATGCTATATGCAAATGGAGTAGCAAGGATTGCCAGGCACATATATTGCATGTACCTCCTCTGTTTACATGCTTGCTCCATTGTCCCATCAGACTGCACCTACAATACACAAAGCTCAAAGATAAAATTAAGAATTTAAGATAGCAGCAGGAGAGCATTAATCCAACATAGGACCCTGTGGGGCCCTGTGCGACTGCACAGGTTGTGTGTCCATAATTTTATCCCTGTTACCTAGTTTTGACATATTATAAAACTGCCCTAATTAAGACAGATGATATTGGCATAAATATAGAGAAACTCATCAACCGAACAGAATATAGAGAGCAGAATTAGATCCATGCATATATGGATGATTGATTTTGGACAAATATAAAAAGCCAATTGAAAGGAAAAGCATATTCTTTTTAACAGCTGATGCTGGAAAATTAGATCTCTTTTGTAAAAATAAAAACAACTTGATTTATAATTCACACCATATATAAAGAAAAATGAAGTAAAAATTGGTAATAGATCTATATGTGCAACCTAACACTATAAATTTCTAGAAAAAATAAGTCAAGGAAAAGCTTCATGATCTAGGGCAAGACCAAGCTGTTTTAGCTACAACACCAAGAATGTAGACCATAAAAAATAATAATAAATCAGGTTGTACAGTACTGTGAAGGGTCTGAATTTCTATCTACCTTGAAAACTAGCAAATTTGCCTGCTACAGATTTGTAGATGCTGACAGAAGACAAGACTTCTTGTAAAGAGACAAAAGACTTTATTACTGAAGGCACAAATGACAACAGTAGCTTTATATTTACATCAATTCTCTTTGCTATCCAAGTTCCATGGAGGTTACCCAGAGCAGTCCGGGTAGCATATTATGCGGGTTTGCATTACAAATGCAGAACAGTGTGCTTTGGAAACTCCTACCTTTTAGGAGGGGCTGAAAGTAAACTTGCCCAATTTTTGGTCTGGAGGAGGATATTATCTCTGTCTTCAAAGGCTATTTGTTATACAAACATCTTTGAAATTATTATCTAGATAAAAAACTGTCAATGTATCTGCTGAGATGTACAGAAATGCAAAAGAATAGTAAAAAAATTTTTACCAACATAGATTTTATCAAAAGTTTGAAAATTTCTGCTCATTGAAGACACTGTTAAAAGAGTAAAAAGACAGACTGGAGAAATACATTTACAAAATACATATATAATAAATTCTTGTATTCCCAATATAAAAGCCATTCAAAACTCAGTAATAAAATAACACAATTTTTAAATGAGCAAAAAGATTTGAACAGACACTTCACCAAATAAGTATATTTTAAAAACCTCAAGTCATGTTATTAGAGAAATGCACATTAAAACCATGGAGATAACTACATATCTACCAAAATTGCTAAAATTAAAAAGACTGACCTACTAAGTGTTGGTGAGAATGTAGAAGAGCTAAAACCCTCATGTACTGCTGGTAGTAACAAAAAATGCTGAAGACACTTGGGAAAACAATTTGGTAGTCTCTTACAGAGTTAAAAATATACCTACCTATTATCCAGTCACTCCACTTATGAGAATTTACCCAAGAGACTTTGAAGTATTTGTCTCATACAAAGACTTATACACAAGTATCCATAGAAGCTTTATTTGTAATGCCCAGAAATCAGAACAATCCAAATGTCAATTAACATGTAAATGAATAGAAAAATTATAGGATATCCATGCAATGGAATACTACTCAGCAATAAAAAAGAATAAACTATTGATACACGCAACAATATGGATGAATCTCAAAGGTCGTGATGACTGGGTGAACTTCAGTGAGTTGAGTAAGACAAACCAAATAAAAAGAGTGTAGATTGTATGATTCCTTTAATATATAATTCTAGAAAAAGCAAACAAACATGTAGTGTGAAAAAAGACAGTCAGCAATGATCTGGAGACATTTCTACCCTCTTCTGGAGACAGGATAGAAATGTCTTCTACCTATTCTGGAGACAGAAGAGGGTAGAAAGTGTAAAGGGGAAAAATAAAGGCATCAAAGAAGTAGACAGAATCCTAGAAGGTGATGGCTCTGTTTATTATCTTGAGTGCGGTGAGGGTTTCTCACACAGACACATTATATATTTTTTAGGAAAGTATATGCTTTATACATGTACACTTTACTGTATGTCAATTTACCTCAATTAAACTGTAAAATAATAAAGCAAAATAAAAGAACATCCATTCATGATAAAAGCTCCCAGTTAACCATGAATTGAAAATTGCCTCCACTTATTAAAGATTATATACAAAAAAATTTGCAGCTAACATTATACTTAATAATGTAAGACAGAATTATTTCCCACTAAGATCTGAGAAAAGACAAGTATGTTTACTGTTATCATGTTTATTCAATATAGAATTAAAATATCTGCCTACTGAATAGGCAAGGACAAGTAATAACAAACAAAAACATGGGAAAAGAAAAAATAAACTCTCACTTTGTAGATCATTATTGCCTGCGTTGAAAATTCCAAGGAATGTGTAAAAAGACTCCTAGAAGTGATAACTGAGTTAGCACGGTTGCAGAACATAAGATCAACACACGAAAATCAATCACATTTCTATATACTAAGAATGAATATGTAGAGACCAAAACTTAAAATGTGATGCCATTTTGAGGGATGTCCCCAATGACAGTGAAATACTTAGGAATAAACTTTATAAGACAGTTATGAATCTGTATGCTGATAATTTTTAAATACTGATTTAAAAAAATCAAAGGAGACCCAAATAAATGGAGACATATCTGTGTACATAAATTGGAAGACAACATAATAGAGAAGTCAATTTTCCTCAAATCAGTCTTTATTGTAATTTTTACTAAGATACCTGTAATGATTTTTGTAATCATTGAATAAAGTGGGAGGAGTCATTGTACATGATACTAAGTCTTCCTATGCAGCTACAGTAATCAAGACATGTGGTACTGGTGGAGAAACATATCAATAGATCAAAATAGTGTACCAAGAAATAGGCCCACACAAACATGCCTGATTGTTGAAAGGTGCAAAACCAACACAATAGAGTAAGGATAGCCTTTTCAATAAATGATGCTGGGTTAATCTATAGGCAATTAATGAACCTTGACCTAAACTAAAAATGAATGATGGGCGTAAGTGTAAATTTTAAAATTATTAAACTTTTTTCACATATAAGAAAACCTTT